GTGAGTTCCTTGTCTTCTTGTCTCACTTTATCCTTCGCTTCGAAAGCAAGTTCATTGTCGCTTCTGTAGAGCAGCTGCAAGAAGAAAAGGAATACCTTCTGTTTCCGCCAGAAATCGACGGTTTGGAGAACAAGATGGGTCTGCATTACACCAGGCAGGAGAACCGCAATGTTGATGGAACCATCAAGCCTTCAGCACATGGTTTTGCACACAACACCGTCTTTGCCGCTTGTTGGAAGCATGCTCTTATGCTAAACGTTGATCCTCACCCCGAGGTCCAGCGCGATGCTACCACCATTGTTGACTACATGCATAACGCGTTGCTCGCGTCACCTGTCGGTGAGCATGCTCAAGCGTTGATGGACGACATTCGAAGAAGGGCGAAGCGCGCCTCTGCCAGAAGCCAGCACGCTGCTAATAATAGGCATGGCGTTCTCGGTGCATCACCATCATCCACAAACGCTCCACTGCCGTCCCCAGGACTCCTACGTAGGACCGCGAGCTACCTGTTCACCGGCATGTTTGGAGCGAACGGAGCAATGGAGCCCGGGAGAACAATGAACCAAAGCAACCCCGTTCCTTCTTCGCCTGGTCTACCTCGGAGTGCCTCTCAAAAGTTCCGAGGACCTGAGCTGGCTTCCGCTCCTCCAGACCAGATTGATCAGACTAACTACTCCAAATATCACACAGCCAACGAGCCCGTATCCGGCGGCTACGAAGAGCGCAGCGTGGGGGAAATTTCGTCGCTCCCTCTTCGCAGCACCTTCCTAGATTGGTCTGTAGAATACTTCCGTGAGCCTCAGATGAAGCCGAGTGAGTCGGATGAGCCGGGAAGTACAGAGTACAACGAGCGCCTTTGGAGAAGGTCTCGCAATGAGACGATTCTCCAAGACACCCAGCCTCTGAAGCAGTATGCCGGCAGCCACAAGTGGGACAATCAGGTTCGACTTATCAACAATGGCGCCCAACCTGCCAAGATGACTTTCCATCAGTTCGAAGACCAGCTTGCGGTGGCAGATAACGGCAACACTGTGTATGTCTGGGATTGGAAGAAGCAGTCACGTCTCAGCAAGTTCTCCAACGGCAACCCCGAGGGCTCCAAGATCAGCGACATGAAGTTCATCAATGAGGACGATCAAGGTTTCCTTATGACAGGATCCTCTGATGGTGTCATCAGGGTGTACCGAAACTATGATTCAGACGAGCAGGTCGAACTGGCGTCGTCCTGGCGCGCCCTTACGCACATGGTACCAAGTACTGTAAACTCGGGCATGGTTTTTGACTGGCAACAGGCGACCGGCCACGTGCTGGTAGCTGGTGACGTTCGCGTCATTCGAGTGTGGTCGGCGGCCTCAGAGACGTGTGTCATGGACATACCCGCCAGATCCGGCTCGTGTGTCACCTCCCTGACATCTGATCAAATGACGGGCACCACACTTGTGGCCGGTTTTGGTGATGGCGCGGTACGCGTATTTGATACCCGTCTCAAGGTCCAAGAGTCGATGGTGAAGAAGTGGAAGGACGACACGGACAGGCAATGGATCAAGAGTGTCCACATGCAACGTGGAGGTCAGAGAGAGCTCATCAGCGCTAGCCGCAACGGCAAGGTAAAGCTATGGGACATACGCATGGACAAGCCCCTTCACACGTTCCAAACGACGAAGGACCCACGAGATACTGTGCGCACGGCCAGTACCCATGAGCATTTGCCCGTGTTTGCTGTGTAAGTCTTGAAGTTCACGATTTCTTCTGATTCCCTACTGACGTCGAGTCACAGAGGCACATCGGCCCGACGAGTTCAGGTCTTCAACTTTGATGGTCAGGAGCTATCTGAGATGGAGCCGTACTCCAGCTTCCTTCAACAGAATCGAGGCCTTCCCATCTCTGCTACAGCGTTCCATCCTCACAGACCCATTCTGGGAACTGCTGCTAGGGGCGATCATCATATCAATCTCTTTACTTGCGAGAATGCAGAGATGCTACAGCCTCGCTCCTACTAACCGAAAGGGGGGATATGCAGGAGATGGAGAAGAGCTGGGAATCCAAGGTTCAGTTATCGGCAGGCTTCCGCATCTGGGAGATGCGCGACTCTGTACGATCTGTACCACTTGGCTGTGATGTCATTTGCATGCTGCGGTTGGTATCGTTTGGCGTTTGGGGCACCTGAATGATGATCGCTTGTTTGGGGGGGAGCCGGCGTCTTGAGGGCATGTTTGTGCTGCCAGTAATAACGTGCGCATTTAATACAATTCTTTAAAACTACACCTCCTAGGTGAAATACGTGAGGCCTCATATTTACACGTTGTCCTAGATTTGATGACCTTACACCTTCCCACCTGCCTTCGTACCTAGCTTTAGATTGCAGTGAGGGTGAAGTGCAAGCTGATGGCGAGGTTTAACTCAAGCTCTTATCAGATAACAGCACAGATAACGATAGGGCTGGTGGCTCTGCGACCCACCACTGCCCGCGGGGTCGTTGACGTGAATCACCCCGCCATGGAATTTTGAATCATCGCCGAAGAAAGTCGAGTTATCGTCAACCCATTCATCATAAAACAGCACCAATCCGTCACAGTAGACTCAATCCGACATTCCCCATCCATAAGAAACAAAAGAACACGAGTGTCCGAGCTCTACTTTCACAACCATGGCTGACGCACCCGCCGCCGAGCCCGCGCAGGCCCCTCCTGCCAACGACCCCCCCGCCCTTGCCGGCGAGGAGGGCGGCGAGAAGCAGTCAAAGAAGGGTGCCAAGAAGGCTGAGGCCAAGGCGAAGAAGGAGGCCGAGAAGGCCCGCCGTGCTGCCGAGCGTGAGGCCGCTGAGGCCGCGCAGAAGGCCGCCGGCGGCGGTGCCAGTGGTGAGGATCTGGCCAAGGAGAACTACGGCGACGTGACGGCGACGACCAAGGTCGATGCGGAGCGCGTGCACCTGAAGGACATCACTGAGGAACACATTGGAAAGAGCGTCAAGGTGCGCGGCTGGATCCAGAACTCGCGCATGCAGGGCGCCAAGATGTGCTTCATCGAGCTGCGCGAGGAGCGCAACTGGGCCGTCCAGGGTGTTCTGGCCGCCAGCCCCGAGGGCAAGCCCGTTTCGCGACAGATGGTCAAGTGGATGGGCGGTCTCGCTCTCGAGTCTTTCATCCTGGTCGAGGCTGTCATCCAGAAGCCTCTTGACCCGGTCAAGAGCTGCAAGGTTAGCAACTTTGAGCTCCACATCACCAAGTGCTACATCCTCGCGCCTGGCCCCGAGGCTCTCGGCATGAGCCTTCCCGTTGCGAACCGTGCCGTCTCCAGCTTCGAGGACGAAGACCCCTCAGTGACGGCTGCTAAGGCCGAGGCAGAGAAATCGGTTGAGGCTGTCAAGCAAGGTGTAGAGAACGTCAGCCTCGACGCCACGCCGAGTGCCAGCATGGCGACGCACCTGAGCAACCCTGCCATGCACAAGCGCGCCCCCGTTCAGCAGGCCATCGCCGATGTGCGCATGGCCACGCGCAAGCTGTTTGCCGAGTACCTTGACACCCAAAACTTTGTGCAGTTCGAGCCTCCCTGCCTTATCGGAGCCGCTTCCGAGGGCGGTGCCAACGTCTTCTCTATGCCCTACTTTGAAAAGACGGCCTATCTGGCCCAGTCACCCCAATTCTACAAGCAAATTGAGATTGCTGGTGGTCGCAAGCGAGTTTACTGCATCGGACCGGTCTTCCGCGCGGAGGTAAGCTGTACGCCAATTTGTTATCCAAGACCATACTGATGTCTCTAGAACTCCAATACCCCCCGCCACATGACTGAGTTCACTGGCCTTGATCTGGAGATGGAGATCGAGGAGGACTACCACGAAGTCATGGAAATGCTCGAGAAGGTTCTCTTGCACATCTTCCGCGGCATCAAGGAGCGCTGCGCCGAGCAGATTGAGATCATCCGTGCCGTGTATCCCTCGGAGGACTTCCTTCTGCCCGCCCCCGGTGAGGGCGTCCTCCGTCTCACCTTCGCCGAGGGCCAAAAGCTCCTGCGCGAGGAGGGCCCCGAGGAATACCGCAACGTCTCTGACAATGAGGACATGTCGACGCCGCAGGAGAAGGCCCTCGGCGCCCTCATCCGCAAGAAGTACAACACCGACTTCTTTGTCCTCGACAAGTTCCCCGAATCGGCGCGCCCCTTCTACGCTCTCGAGGACCCCGCCAACCCCGCCGTCACCAACGCCTACGACTTCTTCATGCGTGGCCAGGAGATCCTCAGTGGTGGCCAGCGTATTCACATCCCCAGCGTCCTGGAGGCCAGGTTGAGAACGAAGGGTGTCGACCCCGAGTCGCAGGGCATTAAGGAGTATGTCGATGTCTTCCGCAGCGTTGGTGTCCCGCCGCACGGTGGAGGTGGTATTGGTCTCGACCGTGTCGTTGCGTGGTTCCTCAACCTGCCTTCGGTGCACCTGGCCAGCTACTACCCGCGCACACCTAAGCGCCTGCTGCCATAGAATGCCAATGAATGGGGCATTCAAAATGCTACAGCCCACTTTGTTGTAATGATCAGGAACAGAGCGAGATGAAAAATAGCAAATGTTGTCAGTTGATGAATGCTGGTACTGACTGTGCCGCGTGAGCTCGAAAGTGGAGGGTGGTCCCCTATGCACAACCACGAAACTGAGGACGACCATGTCTTTCAATTGCATACCCTTGTAGTAGTGAAGAAGCCCTAGGCTCGGCCATCAATCCAACACGCCTTTAAGCATCAACGGCTCATCACTGAACAAGTGGAGTGGTATTAGTCATCCAACCTGACTCACACCGAAGTATGTGAGCGGCGAAAACGGGACTCCACTCGCCTATATTCATACACGTGACCGGGGTTGCCGCCCACACAAAGCAAAGGCGCAACCCAGGCGAAAAATCGGAGGTGCCTCCCAAGATTGCGGAAAGGACGTCTATCCATCCACCCAACTCTCGACATCACCCCCCCATCGCCCAGTTACGCTCAGTCGACAGCAAAACTAACAAACCGCAAATATGGGCAAGGTACGTTCAGCCCGATGATACCAGCCGATGCCATGATGTGCTTTTGTGCCATCGTCGACGGCCGAAACCACCATGACAAGCGACACCATCGCTGACTGATTCGCGAATAGGTTCACGGATCCCTCGCCCGTGCCGGCAAGGTCAAGTCTCAGACGTACGTCTTTCCTCGATGAGCACATTGCTTCGATCACCCACACCTACTCCGTATCGACTTTGCCAACACGAGCGACACGGAGACGGATGCATCAGATGTAACACGCAAATGCAGAACAGCCGGACTAACATGGTTTCTTCTTCCTTTTCTAGCCCCAAGGTCGAGAAGCAGGAGAAGAAGAAGGTCCCCAAGGGCCGCGCGAAGAAGAGACTCACGTACACTCGCCGTTTCGTGAACGTCCAGCTCACTGGTGGCAAGCGCAAGGTACGCCCAGATGAACCCAACGCAGATGATTTCGGCAATTCCTCCGAGAACACGGCACGACGCCTGCGGTTCTTGTTTCTGGCTAACGCTCCAATCTGTAGATGAACCCCAACCCCGGTGCCGCTTAAACAGCCTCCCACCAACGCATCGATCACGGCTCGAGGAACGTCTTGGTAATGTCATGAAGACATGAGGGTTTCGCGCATCGACGACGGGAAAAGAGGGCGGGGGCTTGTTGGAAAACGATTCAACGCACGAAGCAGGTAGAGAGTGTGACTTCGGAACGGAAATCAACGGTCGCATGGGATGATTCTTTTTTCAACGCTCCGTAGAACGGGGGAGCCAAGGTGCGGATCAAAAGCGAGGTCACACATAACGTCGCCGCCGCGCTGGGAGCGTTTGGGTCTCGTGGCACCCACCACGGGCTTTCGGACCTCTCACAGGCAGCTCTCCGTCCAGCCTCAGAAGGGTTCGGCGTTGGGTTGTCGGCTTTCGGGCCGCTTTTTTGGGAGATAGGGATGAAATGATCTTTTCCCAATCCTGTTCGCTTGAGATGTGTCCAGTATCTATGTTGCAGTGCTCGGCGTTGACTGTAATATTTTGTGATGACACAAGCAATACCTCCCTAAAGCGCACGCAGCTCGAGGCAACGCTTTAGTGAACTGCTCTGCTCGGGGTGGTCATTATGTATGGCCCAAAAGACTTGGACTCATTCCTAGCTTAGGATCAGCTACAACGATGTTTGACATCCGATCAAAAGTTTGGTGAATTGGCATCGACGCCGAAGAGGGCGCAGCCGGCAAGACCACCAAATCAACAGTAGAGCCACGATCAATTGGATTCCAGAAGTTTGTCATATGAGCTTCATGTTGATGGGCAAAGGTATCTCGATGTATGTAGAACGTCCAATCGCATCTCTATCACGCCCGCAGAGGGCTGTTACAACGCCAAAATCCCGGGGAAAACATGCCAGCCGCCCGCTCAAAAGCAAAACCAGCGTCGTCCGGTGACCACTGTGACAAGCTCTCAGAAACACCAGGGGGGTCCAAACGCCAGCTGCCACGCACACGTCTTCCACCCACCGCTAAGGACCGCGTCGGCGGAGAGTCTGTGACAGAAGAAACCCGCCAACCGCATTACCTACTCTGTATGTCTTATTCCCAGTAATTTGGAGCCCGGCTCCCGTCCCATATCATCATATTAAGCAGAAATTGAAATCCTCATCGTTGTCGCGTAAAAACACTCCAAACTCTTCCTCGTCACAAGAACAAAGGCGAGAGCGAGTCCACAAGGCACGTAAAACGCTCAGAGACTCATCGTCAGCCATTCCCACTCTTGAGGTCCTGATGCGGGGCCTCCAGGGTTCATCATGGGGCCTTGGCCACTCGCGCCTGACATGGATAACATGCCACCGTGACCCATTAGCGGTCGTTGCGTCATGCCGAAACTACTGGCCATACCCAGCGAGCCAGCTGCGGACATCGTGTTCAGAGGACTAGCCGATGGAACTGACCGTGCAGCTTCGTTGGGAGAACCAGTTGAAGTCTCTGGGCTGTCGACGTCCATGCTGGCAAGTCCCTCGCTGCCCGTGCTCTTGCTGTGGCGACGTTGGCGTTTAGAGGAACCGGATGATGAAGCACCGTTGCGAGGCATCGACGCCGCACCGGGACCCGGAGTGTTCTTGGGGGGTGCTGCGGCGATAGGAATGACGCCCTTCCCGCCAACAGCACCCACGGAGGAACCAGCACTAAAAGTAGTAGGTGTGCTACCAGCCGTGTTGCCACCAGAAGCAGGCCCGCTCGCCGGGCTTTCACCCTCGTTATTCACGCTTCCCGCGCGAACCACGGCAGGTGGAGTCGTAACCTGCGAATTCCCTGGGATAGAAGATATAGCCAAAGTCGAATTCTTTCGCGAGACGGGGCCGGAAGCCGTGCTCTTTTTGGATCGCGTGCTGGTGCCACCCACGGGGAGGCTGGCACCAGACCCACGGTTTCTTTTCTTGATGACATCCGTCTTCAAGCTGAGTGGTCGTACAACGCCGTGAAGTTTCAAGAAAAGTCCGCAGGCGTTACAGAGTGGCTGTCCTTCAGGGTTGCGACGCCATAGAGGGGTCGTTTGAGTGAAACAATTGGTACATGTGGTCGGCGCGCTGCTGTCCCCGTTGCTTCCAGCTCCCTGCAAGTTGGTTGAGGATCCTTGCTTTGAACCAAGGGGTGATGAAGGTCGGCTTGGGGCAACAGACGAGAAGCCAGACCTCGTGCCAGGAGCCTCAGGAGGAGAATTGGGTGTTGATTGTGCCATGCGATCGAAAGGATTACCGTTGCGAGCGAGATGAGTGGCGGGGGTCGAGGCAATGCGCGGGACCTTTCCGCCGCGCCTGTCTAGTCCCCCCTGTTTAAAAGACTGCGAATGAGACCGTGAAATGTTACCGCCGTCCCAATCACCGCTTGTGTTGTCGACGTAGTCAGTGGTGGTGCCACCGATCGTGACTTGCTTGCGGGGCGGTCCGCCGGGGTATCGAGCAGCCTGAGTGCTGTACTGGCCAGGCAGGGATGGATCCCAGCCGAGCGAGTGGGTGTCATCCATTGCCGAAGGTGAAAAGTCACTGGGCATCGACAGGTTTCTGTCGGCAAATGCACCGCCATCCTCGTCATCAGAATCCGCACCGAACGAGAACATGTTCTCGTTCGGGATAGACACTCCGGGAGATCGGCCAGATTGATCTCCCTGGAAGACCTGTGTGGGGTCGATGTGCGCAAAGGAGTTGGGACCATTGGTGCTAAAGGCGCTCGGGGGATCAGGCCCGGCGGTAGAGACGGGGAACATGGAGCTGTTGTTGGGTGCGCCGTTGTACATGAATTGTGAGCCCATTTGGTTGCTCACACCTTGGGGCCCCCCAGATCGGAAGGACTGCTGGCCTTGGGTTCGCATATCCAAGGATCCAAAGTAAAAGCTATCATTGTCGGGGATGGGATGAGGAGTGGAAACGGCAGACGGATAAGCGGAGCCCGGAGGCGAGTAAAAGTCCGCCGCGTTGAGTGATGAAGAGGGCACAGATGAGCCACCATACATGTTGGAGAAGTGGTTGTGCGAGACCATGGGAGAGGTGGATGGTGAGAAGCTAAAGTTTTGCTGGAAAGGGCCAGCAGACGTGATGATGTTATCAGTATCCATGGATAGGCCATCGAGGTGGAAAGGATTGCCCTGTTGGTTAGGGCCCTGCGTCATTCCAGGTTGGCCTGCGGTGTCCAGAGAATATTCATGAAGCTCAGAATCGGCGCGAATATTAGTGCTAAGGCCGTCGACGTTGCTGTTGACGGCAGGCACCTGAGGAGAGAAGTTTGCGGGGCGCTTCCGTGTCTACGAACATTGTCAGCTCGCTTTCTGCGTACAACGAATACAAGGCGACGGAAACGGGGGTTCAGGAAGAAGCTGGAACAGCAAGTTGCCCGAGCCAGCTCCGGAATTCCACCACATTTCCGAACCTGACACATCGTAACAAAGAAAGAGGTCGAACACTCACGCGTCGGTCATCGATGCTTGTTTTACGTGTGTGCCGAGGGACATAATTGAACTCATCCTGGGCCCTCTGGTGATGGGGAGGGAAGGGCACAGACTGGGGGACAAACTGCTGGTGCGCAGCGGCGTCCTTGCGCGATTTGATATTGATGGCAGAGGTGAGCAAAGAATGCGGTTGACCTGGTGCGGCAGACCTAGACTCATGAGAGTGTCGAGGCGGCGGCGGGGGGGGTGGCTGGAGTTGTGGGGATGAGAAATCGACCGGCGTTGCCATATTCTCGGAGAAGATGAAGTCATCGAGGTTCATCGGCTCAGGGTTGTTCAAGTTCTGCTCAGATGTTTTCCGCAATTGGGCAATTCCACTCGGTGCGTTGCCGTGGCTTGAAACTGCGTTGTTCGCCGTCGCAGACTGGCGCACAACCCTGAGGAAGAAGAGGTGGTTAGCATTTTTTTTTCGAACCAGCACGACAGGGTGCCTGTCGAATGCGCACATCAGCGCGACTTCGACGCAGCATGTCGACATACCTGGATGCTTCCTCCTCCTGCCGCTTCTTCTTCATGTTCATAGCCATCATTCGCCAGGTCAGATTCTCCATTCGTTCTTGGTTTGGTAAGCTCTGCTTCGTCTTGCTGAAAAACTTCCACACCTGCGTCGCAAGAGGATCCTCCTGCTGGAGCAACTCGGGCGTGTCGCCGGAAGCCCCCATGACGGCGTCCTCGAAAGGAGGAAAGGCAGAGGATTGAAGAAGTTGGGTGTGCGAGGTCTGTTGGGGTCGCGCGCTGGAGACGGTGTCAAGGTTGAGGTCGAGGTCGAGATCGAGATCAAGGTCACCCAAATGCGACGTGAAGGCGGACGACGATGAGCCTGCGCCTTGTGCATGGGCGGTGGTGGTGCGGCCTTGTGTGTTGGGGTGGGCATGGGCGTGCCCGTGGCCCCCTCGACCACCATGAGCATGGGTGTGTAGGCCTTGGCCGTTGTCGGCGGTGGCAGGCATGTGAGCGGTAGGCTGATGGGGCCTCCTGGGAAACCGATAGTCGTGCTCTGTTGTTGTGGGATTCATTGAAGCGAAAGCGCTCGATTTTGCGATTGACATCGAGGACCTCGCAACCATGGTTCCAGTGTGTGCCAGTAGGATGGTGAGGAGGGAGAAAAAAGGACGGGAGAGGCAGTGTAGAGTTGAGCGAGAAAGCCAGTCTTCGACCCTGGGGGGGAAAGGTTCCGAGTAGGCTGGCGGGATTCACACAAAAAGGACTTTCCCCACGTCTGCTTGGTTTTGGTCACCTCTGAGTGGTTCTCAGTGGCTCCCGTGCCGGAAGAAACCTAGGCCAAGGCACTTCAGTGGCCGGTGGCACTGCTGACTCGGTGGGTGCAAGTGCCTGTATACTGCTGGACGTACGTTGAACGCTGGGATGTGGGGGACTTCGACTTGACTCGGGGTAGGCCTGTCGGTCTCATGCTGCCGACGTTTGGAAGACTGGCTGGATGCGACGCCTGGGATGTCGGAAAGTATTGCTGTAGCGAATTCTTCCTCGTCCAGGTGGTCTTCTCGAATTTGAAGGCTCTCTCTTTGTCTCCTTTTCTTCTCTCTCGCGGGACGAATGACGGACA